GGGATAAAGTTACTTCTGAGGAAATCAAAAATAAATTTACTCTGGAGAGAACTACCCTGGTGTATGTTGTATGTTCCCTGTTCTCAGCCTTACAGCAGGGGTTAACATCTGCTCGGTACAAATCAGCCACCGTGCTGCCTCATAGCCACATGCTGAAGCAGCCAACTTGGGAGACTGGTGTTGAGACTCCTTGTTCCTACATAATAAATTTATTGTGGGGTAAATTACTTTAGAATATTCAAGTCCTATATTCATCACCATAGGTGACGATGTCAAAGCCAGCTTATTTGAGCCAAAGTGCTGTTGTCTGACTTCTGTTCAAGTGGCCATGTTGTTCAACTATTGCTAAGGCATTATGAGAATATAAATAAAAGATGGAGATGGGATGGCTATGTCCTCTTTATGGTTCCCCAAGACAAAAATGTTCACATCCCCAAATCCAGCACTACTCTGTTGTTAGTCTCAACAGAGCAGCCAAGAACTGAAGAGGCTATATTGACTGGACTCATAGTTTCATAGTTAGTAGGGTCAGAAGGGACCTGAGCAGATCATCAAGTCTGACCCCCTGCCATGGGCAGAAAAGAGTGCTGGGGTCAAATGACCCTGGCTAGGTGACTATCTAGCCTTTTGAAGACCCCCAGGGTAGAAGTGAGCACCGCTTTCTTTGGAAGTTGGTTCCAGATCCTAGCTACCCCGGCTGTGAAGCAGTGCCTCGTGATGTCCAGCCTGACTCTACTCTCAGTCAACTTATGGCCGTTACTCTTGGTAGTGCTCGGGGGAGCAGGGACTCTCCCATTGCCTGCTGGTCCCCCTCGGCCAGTTTATAGATGGCCACCAGATCCCCTCTCAGCCTTCTCTTGTGGAGGTTAAACAGGTTCAGGTCCCGTAGCCTCCCTGTAGACTCCATTCTCAGCTCTTACCATGATTTCTTTAGGTTAGGTATAGAAGAGGGAAGCTGGCATTGCTGCATTTTTTGTTCAGTGGACAGGGAGAACATATTAGTCCCCTCTCCTGTCAGTTTGGCACCTTTCACCAGCACGGAGCTCATGGAAATATGGTGCTTCCCCTCCAGCTGCTGAGCAGAGCCATGATGCCAACTCTGATACTTTAACTGGTGACACAGCAGAGGGGCTGGGTTTTTTATCATGACCTGTCTTGTGCAGGATTTGGCAGGCTTGGCCTACCTGAAGCTGTTACTTCATCCTGCTTCTCATTAGAACACAACTTGACCCCAGAGGACTGGCAGGGCCCTCACCCTCAGCTGGCATAAATGGGACAATCAGCACAGCTCTAATGCCTTATGCCAGACGAGGATCTGGCTTTGAGTGTTTATTCCAGGCTTAGCAGACAGCAACGTGCTGCTGTTAGCTACAAGCTGCACAAAGAATGGCTCAGTGATGAAAAATTGCTGGATCAGATCCTCCCGCACCTCTCCAGGCCAAACTGTGCTCTTAGCAGACTTGTGTAACTGGAATAACCCCAGTGAAAAAGGGGAATCTTGCTGACTTTCCAGCGTATGCCTGACAGCAGAACTTTGGCCTCCTATTTGCACTTGATTTACATCATTTAATTAACATGTAAAAAACTCCCTACAGCCAGTTCTCTTCTCTTGTAAACTTGCACATAAATCCCTGCTTCCAAATGTTCCTCAGTGGGGGTGCCCCGCAAGTGCAGGCTCCTGTCTGTGGCTTGGGGTGTGTGCATGCTGGCAAAGTAAAACTTTGGGGTGGAACTAGCAACAAGAAGCCAAAGAATCCTGACTATCCCATGTGTGTAGGGAGATGGAGGCAGTAGCCCCAGGGCAGCAAGCTTAAATCTAACAGCCAGCGCATACATGGCAGAGCGCCAGGATTCTCAGTGACCTTGGCATTGCAGCCAGGGAAATTCTTTCAGAAGGCCATGCACGTTGTACTTTTTCCCTGCCACACCTGAACACGTCTTCAACACACTCTGCCTCCCTCCTCTGCTATCATGCATCTGAGCCATACATTGATTATCATGCATGTCCTCAGGTTTTCCTGACAGCCCTTCCAGTCTCCGTGTTTCCAGTCTCCGTGTTTACAATAACATTAGGGTGCTCTACTGCCTTCCAAGCAAGGGCCAGACACACCCCACCCCACCCCAATGCTCCTTTACTCTGGTCTTGTGGCACAAAGCAGCGACAAAGCTGCCCTCACTGAGCAGCAAAGGACTTCCCAGGCCTGGAGGAATCCCTCTTGGGCATAGATATTGCACAGCAAGTCCATCCCACTGTGGTATCAGATATGCTTGCAAGACAGGACTGGCAGGAGTGTTGCTGTGCTCTGGCAATCTGCAGCTGGCACAATGGCCCTTTGAGAGCTGTTTCCATTCAGTCTGAGTGGAAACCACCTGAAGATGCCTGGTGGCTAGACAGTATATAGGTATCTCTGCCTCCTGTATGTCCTCCTGTATGCAAAGTCTAAAATTCATTGAAGAGAATGAAAGAACCAGAGGGAGTCCCTCTTTGCCTGGGAAGGGTGGCATGTCACAGCCTGCTCCAGAGAATCATACTTTGAAGCTGCCAGCTGTGCTACTTACTGACTTGTGGACCCGCAGCATTCATTAGAACTTACAAACAAAGGAAACGGGCCAGCAGATGGAGATTTTTTTCCTGCTGTCAGAGTCCCTCAGCTCTGATGTTACACGTGGTGGCTAGATGCCAAAGAACAAACTCTTGAGGTATGCTGTCAGAGAAAAGGAAATGAAGGAACACAGAAAGGCTGAAGTCTGCCAAAACACAGGACTGCAAGTGCAGGCCATCAATCTCATTATCCCTTTGGTTCAGATTGCTCACTTCATCTCATCTTGGACACCAAGAGCCACATGAAGCTCCTTAGCTTCTTCCTCATGCCCTTCCTCCCCTCACATCACTACCATCAAATATATTGTCTGTGTGTGGCAATCACCATTTTGGCTGAGACATCTGGGATCGAAGCAGGGCTTTCATGAACCAGCAGAATGAGCTGGTAGAACCTAAGTTAAGAAGTTCAACTTTTAGTTGGAGCTGTACTAGACTCATGTTCTGTGAGCAGGGTGAGTAGGAACTAAACCCATCCTTTCCAGTGTGTTGCACATGTTCATGGGCTCAGTAACATCTGATTCCTCAATCTTCTCCTCTACCTTCAGGCTTCCTGCTAGGTTCTTTTTGATGGCATCTCTCAAATTTGCCCTTCCCCCTTCTCCTCCAGTATAACGCAGGTCCAGTCTTTGGTCTAAGCAAATTTTCTTTCAGAGCTCCCAGCAAATATTTCTGACCAGGTCTGACTGGCAGTGCTTTGGAAGACTAACGCTGTTCCAGAGAAAATGGATGAATCCCCCAGCCCTGGCAGAAAATTCCTTTTCAACTCTAGACATGGCAGTCAATCAAATACTGTACTCTTGCTTGAAGTTGAGGGTCCTCCCTGGATATGGTGCTTGCTAGAGCTGCACCCAAAGATAGCACAAATTGTTTTCCATTCCCTTCCTCAGCCTAGTCAGATGGATTTGGCTTCTGTGTCAGGGAAGCAGAAAATTCCAAACTTGGATTACTCAGAGGAAAAGAAGCTCCTCTTCAAATCTATCACAATACATTTGTACTGAGGCACCACCAAACAGGCAGGCCCAGATATGACTCCAATGCACTAGCCACAAAGAGTGAAGAAGAGTTCCTGCCCCAAACCTTTCCTCATTTTGGCTGACAACAGAAATAATAAAAAGGCCAATGCCAGCTCAGTGACTAACTGCAGTAGGCCACAGGGGGAGGCCAGGAAGCAGAACAGCTCTTCAATCCCTTTACCGGGCTGCTTGGTGCAGCTGCATAGTGATAGTTTCATTAATACACAGAGAGCCTATTTTTACCCCTGTTTAAAAATAGCAATAAGTAACTATGGTGGCAGGCAGGGATTATAGCTGAAGATGGAGTACCCTGGGAAACGATGGTCAAATCTGAATTCAAAAGCTCCAAAATTACTGTGCAGTATGGGCATGCATCTATACGTGTGTGCCCATACTGTGCAGTAAATATGGTGACTTATGCCAGCTTGAGCATACATTTGATACCTGCATCATGCAGGTATCAAATTTACGCCCGATTAATTACTGCACAGTAACACGTGTAGACACCTTACTGCACAGTAACAGTGTGTGTGTAGACTGACTTGGGACTAACTAAGAATGTTAATGCACCTTAATGCCTGCACATGTAGATGCTGACCTATTCCCACTTACTTCACAGTAATTTAATATGCAGTAAATTTAAGATGGTATGTAGACTTGCTCACTAAGTACTAGCCCAGCCTCAGAGATTATATAGCTTTGAGGAGCAGTTTGTGAGAAGGCTGCTTGGGAACTTCTGAACAGAATGCAGTTTTTGGAACTTTCTATTGAAACACACTGGCTTCATTGCAACTTGTTGGGAAGGTTTGTTAGGTCCACAAGGGTGGATCCAAAGGGGATGCAGTGGCACAGCTGCACACCTCTTTTGGATTGGACCATACCATGGGACTTTGGAGACTTTTTAAAGTACCTAAAGCAAGTGAAAATACTCTTTCCCTTCCTCATCCTACTCAGAGATGCCTCCTCCCTGCCCCTTCCCTCACCTGCCTTTCCCTGCTGTCTGGAGGGCAGAGAAGCACCAGAGCCAGTCCTGCCTGCTGCGCAGGGGCTGGGCTCAGCTGGGGATGGGGACAAGGGCAGCAGAAGTGGGCAGGGGTTCCCCTTCACTGTGACCAGGCAGGGTGGGGGGAACTCTCCAGGAACTTTCCAGGTGCCCTGTTGCCACTGTCCCCCCCAGCTGAGCTCAGTCCCTGCTCAGCTGTGCTGGCTCTAGAGCTTCCCTGCCTCCCAGCTGAAGAGATGCAGCAGAGATGAAGCAGTGGCTGACAGGGCAAGGGGAGGTGGCATGACCCTAAGCAGAAAGGGGAAGGGAGAGGGTATTTGCACCTATTTTACAACTTTAAAGATTCCCTAGAGGTTCCAGTAGTGTGGTCTGCCCACACTGGTGGGGCAAGAGGCTAAGAGCAGGGAGTGTAGAGACTTCTTTTTATTTTAAAACTTTTAGTATAAAAGAATTAAAAGGTGAAAGTGCAGACAGGGAGAAAGAGAAATATCTGCCCTTTCTCTCTCAACAGCCAGCAGCTTAATGGTTTGGGCACTCAGCTGGCCTGTAAAAGATTAACATGCAGGTCCCTGCTCTGAACCAGCCACCATGTAAGTGTTATTCTAGGCAAGGTTGTCTTTTTCCACCTGAAAAGCATTCAGAAGAGCTTGGTGTCTTTCTGCACTGGAATAGAAACAAATGCTGAGCCTTCAGAATTTGTCAAGAAATGGACACCTTGTTTTCCAGCCAGGCCTACTTCAGAGGGGATCTGACAGGTAAAATAAACAGCAGTCACACTCTCTGATCCACTAAATGAGATAGAGCCAGTTACTGCTGGCACAGCACCTTAGAAATGTAAAGCAGGTTGGAAGTGCTAAGCAGAGTTGGATGAACACTGTGCAAAGTGACTAGGAGCAGTGGGTCAAATTGGCCTTGACTGTCCTCATGACTTTGTTTGTGTTCAGGTGAGGTACAAGAGTGGAGTGGGTTTCTTGGGAGAAATGCTTGTGGAAACAAAACTCTGTAAGTGATTGGTGAAGAATATTTGCAAGAAGTAAATTTGCAAACACGAGCATTCAAATTGTAATCTTGAATTGTTGCCTGGCACTCATCCAGTTCAGGAATGGACACAGCCCATGTGACCTTGCAGCTAACAAGCAGTAACCGGCACTGCTGGAGTTGTATTGACAGTGAAATGCTCACAAGGACTTGTTCACAAACAACTGAGGCACCCAGAATTGTGGGATGAATTGTTTCAAGCAAAGAATGATTCTGAGAAAATCATAGTCACAGCTATTCTATCACTACACCCGCTGATTCCCTCAAAATTTGTCCAAGGAATAGTTTGTGAGCCACCCTGCTCTAGCGCTCAGAGTTACTCTGTTCACCAGGAGAAGATAGAAGCAAGATAACTAGAACTGAGAATGCAAGGAATGTCTTTTTTAAACCTTAGGCTTTTGGCCACGTTTGTATCTGAGAGCTGAGTAAATTGTGCTAGGTCTGATGTGCAGCCAGATTTGCATGGAAAACAGGGATGCCCATGCCTTTTGTTTATTATCATTCTAGTGACTTATGCAGGCCTTGCCTAGGTGAAGAATGTGGAGAAAAGCTCTGTGTTAATTCTACCCATCTCCATTCATTCCCCCCCCTTCCCAAGCATACACAATGACTCTATTCATGTGGGGCCCAGAAGAGCACCAGCCCTGAGTCCTCCCTCCCTGACCTGTGTTAACAAGCAACAGACGAGAGTTCATCCCTGTGTTACCCTTTTCTACCATCTCCATGGAGAGCTGTGTTTTACCCCACCTCTGTGCTCTTAACCTGCCCTTGGTTAATCTAAAACTGGGCTTCTGGCACCTCTCAGTATAAGTCATGTTTTCTAGTCCATTAATCTTTCTTTTGGCTCTTCTCTGAGCCCTCTCCAAGTTATCAGCACTTGGTTCTTGGACTTGGGATCTTTTTCAGTTCTGCCACTACCAAGCAAGTCACGTCGTCTCTGTTCTTGTCTCACCTTTTGTGGATCTTGTCTGTTTAGACTGGAGGAAGGAACTGTCTTTTCCGCTATATTTGTAGAGCCCTAGGCTTGATGAGCCCTTGATCTCAACTGTGGCTGCATTAATGTAAAGTGGATAATGATAAGTGGAAATATGGGGTTTCTGCAGGAAGGAGTGACAGCTCTGAGCAGCTGGAAGCCAAATGGAAAGAGGAGGATGGGGAAGGAGGAGAAGTAAAAGGCATGAGAAGTGGTACCCCTGAAGGGGACTGTCCTTTCCTGATGCTGCCTGGGTCACTAAAGCATTGAACTTCTCATAACTAATGATAATAACAAAAAGATTAACTGCTCCACAAAGGCCAGGTGCCACCTTTGATCTACCTCTGGCTTTAGTGATGGCAGAACAGTCCAAGATGCAAACCCTAACCCACTGGCCACGATTCACAGAGGGACATGGCCTTCTCCACAGAAGTCTAGCTGCTCTAGCCTGGGACACTACCTTGCAGGGCAAGAATGTCACCGGGTTTTCCTCACTGCATGTGTCCCCTTCCAGCCTGGATGGAATCAGTCACCCAGGCAAGGTAACCTATCTGAAGGCTGAGGGAAAAGGACTGCTTGAGAAGAGAAGGTAGAGGCAAGTCTGGGTGCACAGTGGTGCTGAGATGTGCTCGTGCAGTCAGCTGTGTGGTGACCTGCATCTGTACATGCGCTGGGCAGACAGTATTTATCACTGACAGACAGCAAACCTGAGACTGGCTTTCCTCAGTGATGTCATTACGGAGGGGAATTCATCAATTATTTCATTTGTAGGTTTTTCTATAAGATGTTTCATGTTAGTGTCTGAGGACTTCAGAGATGAGGAAGATGCTGGTTAGTGTTACTGCTCTCTAGTGGTGTATGATGATTGCTTGTCATGGGCTTGGTGGTCTCCTGAGAAGGTCAGCCAGGTCTGTGTTCCATCCCCAGCTCAGCCAATGACTTGCTGAATGACCCTAGGCCAGTCATTTCACCACTCTATGTTTTGGTTCCCCTTCCCACCCTGGTTAGACTGTGAGATCCTAGGAGCCCAGACCATCTCTTGTTACAAGTCTGTAGAAGCAGTAGCACCATGCCTCCTCTCTCCCTGTGCCTGGGGCTTCAAGGATCGAGCATCTTACACCCTCATGGTGTTCTACCAGGGCTGCAGCCAGTGTCTGATGCAGGGTAAGATGAAGACTTGTTTCTCTCCTCATTTTCCAACTTGTCTCTTGTGCCCATGCCCCCATTTTTTTGCACCTTGAAGCCATTTCCCTTGGCCTCCAGGAAGCCATCATGTGAAGGGAGGGTAAACCTGGGCTGCATGCATACTAGTATGGAGCCTTCAAAGGCTTAACCCCTAAGGAAAATTTTGTTTGAAAAGGTGCTGCAAAACAGCAGCTTGGGGGCTTCTGTTCAGGTCCAGGGCATTGTGTGTGTCATGATTCCTGGTTTCCAGCCCTTTATTCCTAGTTCCTTATTCCCAGTACTTTTTTCAAAGCAAATCCTTACACAATTAAACACTGGTAGTAATGAATTACATAACCTAAAGAGTTAGGATGTCATAAAAATGTGTTTACTAATAAACATGTAAAATGATACCATGTATCAAGTACATAGACTTGAAAAAAGACCTGAGATTAGGCTGGCCAAAGTCCTTTTTGGGTCACCCCAAAACACACTTCTCTGCCATCGGGGACACTGCTGAACAAGTCTGAACAGGATGCTGCCTGACCCAAAACTCAGTTTTTGCATACCAACATGAAAACTGAGTAAGGATCTGAGTTTGGACTGGGATTATGTGTGGAAATCTTTTTCAGCTCACCCCACAATGGCATCGGGGACTTTCCTGAGGAAGCATGGTCAAAGTCGTGCCTGACCTGAAGCTCGGTTTCTGCATGCCAAGCCGCCAGCTCACAGGCCCTGGAACCTGAATAAAGAGCTGGGTTTGGGCTAGAATTACAGGAGGAAATCCTTTTCAGATCACCCAAAAATACACATCTTTGTCATTGGGAGACTCTTCCAAAGAAGGCTAGGCAGAGTCCTGCTCAACCCAAAGCTCAGTTTGTGAGTGCCAGGCCATCAGTTAGCAGGCTGGCTTGCAAACACCAAGCTTTGGGTCAGGCAGTGCCCTGGCCAGACTTCTTCAGAAGAGTCCCCTGGTGACAGAGACGTGGTTTGGAGTGATCCAAAAAGGATTTTCACACACAACCCCAGCCCCAAATCATCTCATTTGGTGCTATGTAAATAGTATGCAGCTCTGGAGTGCCATTGGTTGAGAGGCTGGCACACAAAAACTGAGCTTTGGGTTGGACAGAAACCTCCCAGAATTCTTCAGGAGAGTCTCCAGGCAGCAGTGATGTGTGTTCTGGGGTGACCCAGAGAGGATTTTACTTGATAATCCCATCCCATCTTCAGATCCTTATTCGGGGCTAGGTGCAGAGCACATAGGCATGGGCCTGTGAGTTGGCAGCCTGGCACTTACAAACTGAGCATTGGATCAGGCTGGACTCTGCCCAGATTTCTTCAGAAGAGTCCCCAAATGGTGGAGACATGTTTTGGGGTGACCTGAAAAGGATTTCCACCCATAATCCCAACCCAAACCCAGCCTGTTATTCAGGGCTGGGGCCTGTGAGTTGGCAGCGTGGCATGCAGAAACTGAGCTTCAAGTCAGGCAGGACTCTGTCCAGACTTCTTCAGGAGAGTATCCTGATGGCACAGACATAGGCAGTGAAAGGCCAGGGCTCAGAAAGCTTAACCCCCACAAACGTAGGACAGCAGGCAGGGCTGCAGGGCAGCCCAGCCGCAGCCAGGATTGCATCCAGCCAGAATTGCAGCCCTGGTGTATGGCTGCCCAGCATGGCAGGCAAGTTTTTCAATCTGCTTTCTTTGTGAAGGGGAAGGGGCTTGGCAGGAAAGCAGATCGAGACCCCCACAGTGTGGGATGGTGTGGCGCAGGGACAGGGGTGAATGGGGCCCCGGCCAGGCTGTGTGGTGGGATGCTCAGAGCCCGGGGAGTTCATCCAGGGGTGAGGTGGGCTCCTGCCACAGTGCACTCCCCAGCAGAGGCCTGGGGGGCATGTGCCCCCACATATGTGCGTGGGGCGGAGGTGGCTGCTGCTGCTGCTGCCCGCTGCACTTTGCATGCCACTGCAGCTGCCCTGGAAGTAGTGCAATACCATATACCTGCCCCTGCTGGGCTGAACTGCACCCCCTACCTGTCCCACATCCGGATGCACGTGGTGTTGCATGACTCTTGAGCCAGCTGCAGCATGCAAAGCACAGCGTGCAGCAGCATCCACCTCTGCCCTGCGCACAGATGAGGGGGCATGTGCCCTCCAGGCCTCTGCCAGGGTATGCACAGCACCAAGAGCCTCCCCCATGCCCCTGACAAAGCAACCTGGGCTCTGATTGTCTCACCACTGGGCCCGGCTGGGGCCCCATTCACCCCTGCTCCTTCCTCTGCCCTGATCCCTCCCTCACCACAGGGGCCATGATCTGCCCCTCCATGGCCCTTCCCCTCCCCCTGCCCCTTTCCCCATAGACTTACCTGCTGGGGTGGGGTGGGGTGGGGTGGAGTGTGTGCACATGCGCACGCACTCAGCCCCCCCAAATAATTTTTTTCCCTCCACCTATGGACACAGACATGTTTTGGGGTGACCTGTAAAGGATTTCCACTCATAATCCCAGCCCAAACCCAGCTCCTTATTCAGGGTTCTGTACAGAGCACACAGGCCTGGGGCCTGCGAGTTGACAGCCCAGCATGCT